AGATGTTTTAATTTTTCGAAGGCTTTCTGGTATTGCTCATCCTACTTAAAATTGGTCGCACTTCGAAGAACTTTGAAAAATAGTAGGCATTTGTCTATTAACTTAGACATGAATTTGTTGAAGGCTACCACTCGCCCTGTCAACTTTTGCATCTCATCAATGGTTCATAAGAGATTCATGTCCAAAATAACCATTACCTTTTTAGGGTTTGCCTCAACCCTTATGTTGAAAAACATAAATCCTAAAAAATTTTCTACTTTGACATCGAATGTATATTTGGCAAGGTTTAACTTCATGTTGTATTGTCTTAAAATGGCAAAGGCTTTCGCTAAGTTCTATATATACTGTTCCAATGAAAGACTTTAAATCAATATGTGAGCCACATACACCTCCAAAGACCTTTAAATCTGTTTCTTAAAAATCTTATTCATCAATCTCTTATAGGTGGCCTTAGCATTCTTTAAGCTAAAGTGTATAATAGGATAATAAAATAGACCATCTTCAGTGATGAAATATGTCTTCTCTTATTTGCATTTACCAAGTTAATCTGGTTATACCCAGAAAAGGCATCTATGAAACTCAAATATTTATGATCCATCGATGAGTCAACCAACCTATAAATTGAAGGTAGGAGGAAGCTATCCTTAGGGCAAGCCTTGTTTAAATCTATGAAGTCCACACACATTAACCATTTTTCGTTCATCTTTTTCACCATAACTACATTAGTGAGCCAATTCAGGTACTCCACCTCCTTTATATATATAGTGGATAGCAATTTATTAACTTTTTCTTTAACTACATGTATTCATTCAAGAGCGAATCATCTTTTTTTTTTCTACTTAACTAGTTAGGCAAGTAAGTGCACATTCATATGATGAATGATAACATGCTCATGTATGCCTGCTATGTCTATTGCTGACTAATCAAATATATTTGTGTTTCATTATAAAAATTTATGTAACATGTATTTTGCCTTTGCATCCAACATGGAGCCTATTTGTGTAACCAGCTTAGGGTTTTGCTAGTATAGTTAGACTAGTATGATTTACTTAATAGGGTGAGCGTTGGATTTTCTTGCTTCATCTTTTACATCAAAACTGTCAATATTCAGTGTTTGTGCTAAGACTGAGTTTATTACATGCACTGATGGTGAAGGACTTAGGTATGGTTCAAGGTCTTCTATAGGTAAGGGTGAGAGGTTGGTTGTTTAGTCTTCTTTCTAAGTTAATTGAAAGCTCAAAAAGTGGCACTGGCAAGCAATAACTTAGTTTGTTTTCATATACCCCACTTTTGTGGGTGTAGAAAATTTAAACTTTAGGTAGTACATAGATGTCACCATTTTAGCCTTCTTCATTAATGGCTTATCAAAAATAACATTGTATACCAATGACTAGTCAACTACCAAATGCTCACCATTTTCTATTGTAATTGGTAGGGTAATGGATCCTTTCACTGCTATAGGTTGGTTGGGGAACCTAAAGATAGGCTTTGACAACTTCAAATCTTTATTCGAAAATCCCATTTGTTTTTAGCATTGAATTGATCATTGTTTTGAAATGAGAAAACATTAAAGCTAAATAAACTTGATCAAGATTTTGAAAAGGATTTATTTAGTACATGTTTTTAAGTTTTATATTTTGGTACTAAATAAATAATATGATTTTCAAAGCTTAAACAAACCTTTCTTTGTTTTCATATTTCTCAAACCAAATCTATCTTTAAAGATTATTTATTTGAGCTTAAATGAAAGTCTAATTGTTATTTTTAAAGTGAACTTATTCATTTTGGACTTAATACAATTTTGATAATATTGGTTTTAAGAAATAGATTAACTTAAGAAAGTTATTTTACAAGAATAAAGTTTTCCAATATTGAACTTGTTTTATTTTTCTGTATTAATTCACAAAGTCTTAATATTTTAATTTTATATGGTTGGAAAGCTCTTTGAGTCTACTTTCTAATGGATCAAACAAAATCAAAATCCAAATTTTCTAAGAAAAGATTTTGAATTTTTATTAGACACTCTGTAGTTGTCAGAAAAACTGCACAAGGCATAAATTTGAAAATTCACTATAATTCGTACACAGTGAATTAGGTGGTAAACTTTATATGGATAGAAAGCCCTTTAAGTCTAGTTTCTAAATCTTCAAACGGTTTGTGATTTGTATTTGTATAACTTAAGTTATGATCAAATTAGTAAGTAGAGTACAAAATAGAAAACTACCACCCAACATGGATAAGATCGATCCCCTCTAGAAGGGATCGATTGGTTTTCAAATAGAATGCTCTTAGGACTGCAAAATCCAAAAAAAGGATTGATCCCCCACATAAAAGATCAATTAGTTCTGGCGAAAACACTCCAACAGCTACTTTTTGGTGCTTCTAACAGCTATTTTCTTCTCCCAAACACTTCCAACGGCTATCTCTTCAATTTTTCTATAAATTGGGCACTCCAACACACCAAGAACATTGATGAAGCAAGAGAGCAAGTGCTAACAAGTTATATTTTTATTTTCTCTTAGAATCAAGAGTTTTTAGAGCTTAAATTCAATATCTTTTGTATTTTTTGTATCCAAAATATTGTTATGTTTCATTCATCATTTTTTTTGTACTTCATTAGGCAAACACTCAACCTTGAGAGGTATTTTAGTTTGCAAAAATTATTTTGATTATCTTGTAAGCAAAAGGTGAGGTATCCTCTTGATATTGTAAAGGTAGAGGTTATTATCTAAACGTTAAAAAAAAGATAGAGATTTAGTACAAGATAGGTTTGTCTCTTGTAACAGTTTTTCTTTAATAGTGGATTGAAGTCTTGGTGTGAACAACCAAGAAGAGAGAACGTAGGTGCCTTGTGGAGAAAGATCGAACCTCTATAAATCATTGTGTTTGATTTCTCTATCCCTATCTCCTTACAATTCATTGTTGTTTATATTTGATTTTAGGCTCATTAATTATTATTGTTTGTATTATATTTTCATCAAAAGTGCTTATTGTTTTAATTTTTATTCAATTATATTGAAATCATTTGTTTGGAGAGAATTTGGAGAGATCTAATTCACCCTTATCTTGGATCACCATCTCACCTAAAAAGCTAACAGGTACTATATCAAATCAACTGCATTCCCATTATTAACCATGATTTTTTATACTTGATAATTGGTGATGGTTGTTGTTACTATGATATGGTCATTACCATTATTTACTAGTATGTCAGTGTCTTCTTATAAAAGCTACTCTTGTCAATCTTCAATCTTTTGCTTCTTAGTGGCCACATTAATGACCATAACACTACGTAAGTGAGACTTGCGCTTTGACTTGCCATTGGCTCAATTCTAGGTTGCTCTTACAATCATATGAATTATTCCTTGGATTAGGTGTTTACCAGCAGCCTTTTCTTAGTAGGCTTCTTTAGTTTCACGAGATGAGCCCTTACCTATTAGGGGCAGGTGAATCACGTGTTTGGTGAAGTGATAGATTATTATCTTTGAGGGTAGGTTTGGTGTTTATTAAGCCTTTTAATCTCTCAATCTCTTTTTAAAGGGCAATGCAATCATTAGAAAAGTACCCCCAATAGAATAATATCTACAAAACTATTTTAGTGTTGGTTGGTTATCAGGTCACCTAGGTAAAGGTCTTGCCTAGTTGGGTCTCTAATTGGGTCTTTGGGTAAGGCATTATGTAATGGCATTAAGGGTTTTGTTTGAAATTTGATAATGGTTGAACTATGGTTGGGAAGGACAATTATTGTTATTTTGCCAATCCTTTCTTTTATACTAGTTGTGAGCTTTATGGTTGTCATAGAACCACTGGCTTGACAAATCAGTCTGTTTACTATACCTAGAGGATGTTTGGGGCATTGATCATACCATTTAGCTTTGTCTGTAACCCCAATATCTTCCATTTCAACAAACTTTTAGGCCCTTTTATATAGCTGGTATAACTATTCTAGTTTGTTCTTAGTTATGGAATACCTGAAATGATCATGTTTGACCTCAGAGGTAAAAACCTAGATAGCCCATTCAATATTAAGGTCATTGATCTCCAATGTGGAAGCATTAAACTTCTTCAAATATTGTCATAGAGTTTCATCCAATTTTTGCTTCACGATAAGTAAGCTTATAGAGAAGCACACTACAGCTCGACTACTAAAGACGTGTGCTAAGAATAGTCTACTGAGAGTATCAAAACTATTTATGGTGGTTAGGGCTATAGAATATAACCAAGTTCAGACTGTTTCACATAAAGTTGTAGGAAAGAGTCTACACTTTACTATATCGTAGGTGTTGTGTAGATTCATAAAAATCTTGAAGTGATCTAAGTGATCCTTTAGATTAGTGGCCCAATTGTATGTATCCTTAAGGAGTTTATAGGATACGGGAATATTTGCTTCTCTGATAGGGGTTGTAGTCATCTTCAAGCCATTAGAGATATTTGTTTTTTTTTTTCAAGTCAATTAGCTCATTGTGTAAGGCAGTTACTTATACAGCAAGTCCATTGTCAAGGTTGGGATTTGAATAAGTTTGGTTTTATGCTTAGTTTTATGTGGTGTGGTCATTGTGGTAAATACTACCCTGAAGGGTTTGGGGGTAAGTTTCTTCAGGATAGGTAAGGTTTTATAATGGTGATGGTGGTTCCCTAAAAGATGAGGCTGAATTTTTTCTAATGGCTTGTTGGTATTGTTGGAGTAATCTTTGTTGAGTTACCATTTAGGCATTCAAGAGTTGTATTTGTGTCATCAGGGCCTAATAAAAATCTGCAAGGTTGTTACATGTTTGGGTTAGTGTGTTAGGATATATGGAACAGGTAGTGAAATGTGAATAGTGGATGTTGCAAAAGGAATGTTTTGCCACTTGGTGGCATTAATGGGTTGTGATGAGTGGATTTATGTAGTAGGTGGTTTGGGACACCGGGTTTAAAGGTTTGGTTACAATAGTGTAGACCAACGGTAGAGTTAATGTTATTTTAGAGATAAAACTCCATCAAGCTTTAGTAAAATACCAGAGACTATATGGTCCAAGCATTTAATAAGAGATGGTTGTTAAGGAACAAGAAAATCCTATAAGCAATATTTGGTGATGAGATTTATGTAGTGGTTGTTAGCATAGTTACTACATCAGGGATTGCTGCAGGTTAGGTTATTGCATTAATGATGGGTGTTGTAGTTTCATAAGAATAAAGATGGTGAGACATAGTTGTCGTTTCCTATAGATTGTGCCAATTGTTGATGGTATTTTTGATGTCTTAGTTGAAGGAAGCTAGTTTGAGGTTGTTGGAAGTTGTGTGACCTGAACCTATTGCCAAAAAGCACAGTCAAAGGCGTCGGAGTTATTTTTTTGAAGCACACTTCGATACTCAAGTTAGTAAGATGTTTAAGGAAAAATGAAAAAGGAGGTGAAGTGTGTGAAAAAAGGTTCTCTAGTACGAGCATATGTAAATGTGAAGTATGTGTATTGTCTTATGTACCTGAGTTTCCTCATTACCTTATATATGAAACAATAAATGATAACTTGACGAGATAGTTGACAGTTGATAGAAAGTATATGTGGAGCTCAAAAAGGGTAAGCTCCACATGGGTGGCTATGTGTCACATTTAATGATCTCAGTTTGGCGCAGGCCAAGCATTTAGTTATAATATGATGCCTTGATGGGATGTCATCGGGGATGTTGGACGAGTCCTTCTCTTGGCAAGGGATGAGCCATTTTTTAGATACTGATGACATGGTAACTTGAGCGTATATTGTAATTATTTTGACCAAGCTTTGATCAGGTAAATGGGCGTAACAAGTTCCATTCTCTAGCAATTGTACTTTATCATTTTAAGCAATATCTCTTGTATTCCTAGCTTTGGCTTGTTCAATACCAAAAAGCAAGATATGAGGAACTGATCAAGAGTTTCATGCAATATCTTAAATTCAAGAAGTAAACAATGGGAAGTTCAAGAAATTTACAAAAGAGAGAGAATTAGTACAAAATAGGAGACAAAATGAAGATCAAAATGAAGATGGCACGGTGGAAAGTGAGCTGCTAATGGATTCTGTATTTCTAAACCAAAACAAGGCACTACATTCCAAGAAGTACGCCTTACAGGCTAGACCACTTAAAAAGGGTGGCTTCCACAATTGAAATTAAAACAAAATGTCCTACTCTTTTCTTAATATAAAAAGCAATGTACAAGCTACAAATATGACAAAACTGCTTTAAGCTTCCAAAAGTTTTTCTATGTCAGCCCACTTCCAAAATTCAAAATGTTCTCCGTCACCCCACTTTTCAATCAGCTCTCTCTACAGTTGTCTTAAACAAGAGGACGTACAACTTTTGATCCATTGAGAAATACAGAAACCCACCTACTGAATGTGTAACAAAAGACCCAAAACTTGACCCCACGATACAATGCCATGCCGGTCCATAGACACCATCAAACTCCTGCAGACCCAAAAGTGCATCAATTATGTCAATCATCAACTCAAATACCCAGATCATAATGATTCATAGAATCAACAAAAAAAACAAAAAACCATAAACAATAGTAGCAAAGGCAAAAAATTTTTAACTAATTATTAGTTTACCTTCTTGAGAGTGAGTGCAAGGGTCTTGGCAGTGAACTTTTCAAGGCTATCATGAGTCCTTCTTGCACACTCAACAGCATGGATCTGCATAAACGGTGGCATATCAACTGAAACAATTTTGACACCACAATTTGCAAGAATATCAGCCAACTCTACTTGTGAACCACAAAAGGATCTCCTTCTGCGTAATGAAGCTGAAGCCTTCTTCATATCATGATGCCCTTCATGCAGATTCTTCACCTCTTTCTCCTTCACTGTCAAAGCTATTTTCTTGCTATCAAGCACTGATCTTTGATGATGTTGTTCTTTCTTTTTATCCAAATCCTTTGATGCTTTCCTGACCTTCTCTTTCAATGATTCTTTAGTTGTTTTATGGGGAAGGTAGTTTGCTTTGATAAGTGAAAACCGGGCGGAATCAGCATCAGCTGAAACTATCATGGCTTTGGCTTGTAAATGAATGTCTCTGCTAGACGGAGGGTGGTTATGTCGGTTGTTGGTAGGTTTTTGGGGTGTAAGGCTTTTGTGATTAAGGTTCAATCTTGAGAAATGATTGGTCCTGAAAAAGGGCTTCTGGGAACGTATTAATGGATCTGAATTCTGGGTTGTTGGGTGGCTGGTTATGGTAGGTTTAAGCAACTTTTTTAGGGTGGGATCTATGGAATGGGATGATGGGATAGGTTCTGGTGCTGCTAAGATGCGCCTGCGGGTGGTTCGGTGAGCCATGTTATCTAATTGGTGGTGCTTTTGGGATAAGGAGAGGGAGGAGAGAAGGGGTGTTTTGGGGGCCTGATTGTAGGGGGAGCTGCGTTTTTTTGGGGGGGGGGGTTCGTTTCAGGGGCTTGTGGACTGTGGTGGGTTCACTGGATAAGGACACCTCGCACATGTGTGGAGGGCCTGGGCTGTTTTTCTAATCTTCTCACATGCGCCAACCAAGGGTGGAGGAGATGGAGGTCTGTGATGTCTGTCTTGACCGTTGACTTTGATCATTCCTCTGTGGAAAGGCTTTGATATTGAATCAGTGGGTGCTTCAGAGTGGCAATGCCGCAATGCAAGGTGAGGACCCCTGCCCTTTCAGGCCAGCTTCAACCTACCCTCGACATGATGGGATAATGGGAAACGCAATTGGAAAATGATATATAAAAGAAAAAAAAGGAAAATGTTATGACCTATGATCAATATTATGAACTTGTTTTCTGTGAGATTTTAAGCACCATATCCATTTGTCAAATACCCATGCTACAAACCAGACGAAGGAATTTCTCAAAATAAATAAATAAATGACGGACGAAGGGATTCTGCATCAATACAACACATTTATATACCACCATTAAAGAAAAGAAAAGTTCTGATTAGAACCCAACAAAGCTTTAATCAATGCATGCAGTCAGATGCGAGCTCTAGTGGGGCTCAACCCCTTTAAAACTAAAAAAATTCGGAAAGTATTTGTGTTTTAGATAAAATTTTAAACAAATTAATCCATCTAGTTTATTTGTTATTAAAATTAATATTAATTTAATTAATTGTCATTATCATAGTAGAAAAAAATATTTTTAACAACAAATATTTTAAAAACTCATTTGTATAATTAATTAAAAAATCAATAATTTAATTATGTAGATCGATAAAGATGAGATTAAAAATATCGAAAACTAACTATTATATAATGTTTTTAAAATATAAAATCACATCAGCGATAATAATAAAATTTTTAATAACTATAACTGGACATAAAAGTTTTAATTTTTTCATACTATTATGTTATTATTATTTCTAATTCAATATATTATTATTTCTAATTTAATATATTCAAAGTAAAATCCTAAATTTATGCAATTACTTTTAAAAATGATATATAACAGATTTAAAATTTAAATTTAAGACTTGTAATACTTTTTTTATCCCAAACGGAACCTTCCTTTGTATTTAAAAGAAAAAATTCTGAATAAGAAAATCCTGATTGTTGCCGAATGGGACAGACCCAAAGGACCAAGCATTACGAGTCAATGAAAAAACTCACAATAAGACATTCCAAGAAGCCGGATCAAAGATAAGAGCGAATCAGTTTCCAAATAATTATGAAATTCTAAGCTGCATCAATCAATGATGGCGAAGCTAATGCAACAAAGGAATATATGAGCAGCAGAAGAAACAAAACCTGTTATTTTCTCTTAAATTGGAGAACATATTGTTGTTACAAAGAACATTATTAGCCTTCCATTTTCCCTCACCCATAATTTTGCCGGACCAAATCCCTTAAGTAATAAGAAAAATATCAAGGATTAAATACTAACTCTCAGATAAACATGGAAGATCTTGAATTATACAAATTGATCATAGAACCATGGATTCCACTACGTTTCAGTTACTTTAACAAATTCAGTTCTCTCCAGGTCTAAGAATGAAAGAATTCAAAACAAAACATAAAAAAAATTACAGCTTCAATACATGGCAATCTTCTACATTCTAAAAATTTACAGTTCCCAGGTGAGCAAGACATGTAGCATATTGGCAGTGAATTAGCAGTGATAAAGGAAGATAGATGGCATCCCCTTGTACCTGATAATCTGACATAAGATTGAGAACTGATATTCTCCGTTTAGCTTAAGCAGGAAGAACCAAAAAGGACTTGAATGTTGCTAAGCTCACATACACATGTTAGAGGCTCAAGTCACATTTAGAGTTCAATGGGCTACAGATTCTAATTCCATGGGCTTGGCTGCCAAGCCTCTCCGAAAACTGAAGTGCCACCAGATGCTGCAGGGGAAGGAGATGATGCAACATAATTTGTTCCTGACACAGATACAGCGGGAGGATTTCCAGGATGACCTTGATTTCCAGTAGGAGCAAAGCGTGATGGGCTACCTGTGACCCCCATGATAGCTCGAGAGGGGTGGGGAACCTATACATAAGAACGATAACGGAATATCATTAGCATACCTAACAATGTCATATATGCCATCAATTAAACTTTACAGAAAGCCAAACTTGACTTAACAGATTTTGTACACTAATCTGAAGTTTACACATCAGCTGATATACCAGGGCACAAAATAATTCAATTTTAGTACACCTCAATGAATATCAACTAGTCAAATAACATATTTTCTTGAATGTTAACTCTAAACAATGTGATCTTTGGTAGTAATAAATAATATTTTATTCCTCTAAAGTAGGCATATAATTAACTGAAAGAGTGCATCTCGCAGTTGATGCTTATTATCTTTTACTATGAGGTCCCAATTTTACAGCTACAGGGTGCATCGATTTCCTCAAAACACAAAAAGGTAACAGTAGTATAGCATGTGTTGTTTTCTTAGTAAGAAATGCACAAGGAAAAACTCTAGGCTTCAAAAAGAGGCCCATTATCTAGCGATGACCAGATGAGGGTGATTAATCTTAACAATTGAAAGCAGCTTATTTAGCTGTTACAAGAACTAAGACTACTTGGTAGTTCTCATTTTTCCACGGTTGTTGCAGAAAATGTCACCTCTAAAAAGCATCCATAAAACAACTTAAAAGGATTTGACAGTACAAGGAAGAAGGGTCATATTTGTTTTCCAGTAGCCCTTCATATGCTTCACTGAGAGAGTAACCATAGAGATTTTCTTTAGTTTATGCTCATCCCATCAAAACAGAAAGCTCCATCCAAGAGGCTTTTTGAGTGAAATATGAGGCATTGATGACAAACCATGGAAAAAGAAACAAGTCAAGGAAATGTGAATGCTAAATGAAATGAGACATTAGCTCTACAAAAATAACCAGTTAAATGGTGCATGAATTCACCTTGTTGACAATTACACAACAGTAACAGTAACCTATGAAGAGTAACAGACATTCCTGAGATACTAAGAATCAACTATCAGGCCGTTGCCAGCATGGATTAGAGAGACCAGAGCTTAAGACATTACCCTTACACTAATCTTAAAGTGTTTACCCAAAGCAAATCTAGAGCATTTGATAAAACAGAAAATCATGGGAGGAATGGAGCTTGAGTAATTCATAAGATAAGCAATTGGTAACCTCCTAAAGTAGGAAAGAGGAGAAATAGGATTTAGGGTAAAGTTTAGGTTCAGATCTTAACCAAAATGCACATTCGCATATAGTTGAAGGAAAGAGGTCAAAATGCACATTCATGTAAACTTTAGCTTCCTAGCTCAGGCCACCCACTTTGACAGGACAAGAGAATGATGATGAAAAAAAAAATCCATGGACGTTCATGTATCAATACTTTATTAGAAAAAAAAATAGTATATTACCACATTTTGTTGAAAGTAGCTAGGTCTTCTAAGGGGAGATTCTGAAGATGGTGATGTACTGCTCATGCGAAACACATGACGAGAATGAATGTTAAGGTTTGAAACATCATCAGCTTCACCTCCTTCATTTTCACCAGCAAGATTAGCCTCCGAACCCATCCTGGAAGTGACAAGCCTAGTCATTGACCCAGAGTCATTCGTGGTTTCCACTTGAAGTGGAACAGCTGGACGAATAGCGGTACCTTGTGTGCTATTTCTTCTCTTCAATTCCTCCTCCACATTCAGGATCTATCAAACATCACCGATTAATTTCAGGAATTCATTTATCCAAAATGCAGTCTTGGATTCAAAAGGCATTAGAATTGAAGTTTACCTGCCTTAGCACTTGTACTAAATTATGCTTCTTTGCATTCAAAACTTGTAACTTCTCCTCAACAACCCTTTTCCTTTTCTCTTTTTCATTCAAATCATTTACTTTTTCAATTACCTAGCAATCAAAAACAAATAAAGAACGTTTCAACAAACAAGAATGAAACTTTTGCATAAACACTAAGAAAGGGAAAAAAATCAGATTTGTTAGCACTTCCAAATCAACTAATGTTCATCCTTTTCTCTACATTCTTCACATAAGAATTCACAAATTAAAAATTTTAAGCTAACAAAATAAGAACTAAAGAAAAAAGAAATCATAATACCTCTACATTTCTTTTTGTCTCCTCAGCCGGTTTCTCACCCACTTGTAAATTGTCATCTTTCTCGGTCTGCTCATCTTCAGGGTTCATCAAACAAGCTCCACCGTCAGATCCTCCAACTACCTCCACGGGAGGTGGTCCAGTTTTCAAATCCTCGGGCCGTTCAGACTCAACTTGCGCTTTCAATTTGGGCACAATAGGAAGCCCATTAGGCATGGGAGATTGAACTTGAGGTTTTAAATCGGGATTAGGGTTAGGGTTAGAGGAGGAAGAAGAGGAACGGAGACGAGAGAGGGCTTTGTTGCGGCAGTGCAAGAGGGTTTTGAAGTCTTTGAGAGAGATTTTGGGAGTCGGCATTAGCCATCGCCGAGGAATGTCCGGTGCTCTGTGGAGGTTCCCTCTGTACAAAGAAATCGCTACCATTTCTTTCTCCTTTTTGGCGTTTCCCTCCGTTTTCTCCGTTTTTCGCTCTGTTTTTACGGTAACGTGCCGTTATCAACTGACTTTTGTGGCAAAATAAAAAAGAAAGATCACGGGTTACCCCACACTTTTCGGTTATATCCGGACCTCCACCGTTTTGACAGAGTAAATGGATTGGGTCGGCTGTAGGGCAATGGGTCGGGGCAGATTTTCCTTGCCCTGACCCGCCTCGTTCGAAATTTGAATTCTAAAATCCGAGTTCGAACCGAAAAGGAAGAAACACCTCCGACTTCGCCCCGCACCATCCGAAACTTGCATAATTGTTTATTTCCCGTAACTTAAGAAATTCTTGCATATCATCCTCTAGAGCATACCCTGTTTGAGCATCATTTTTAATAAGCTTCCCTATTAACAAACTTTTTGATACGGAACAAGATGATCATAATATTCAATGGGCGATTCAGGAAGTTGTATCCATACCCCAGAGAATTGGAAATTATTTTCCACGAACGAAAATCTGGTTGCCATCTTTGAACCATAAGGTAGTAGTTGAAAAGAAACCAATGGCCACCACCAAGAACAGTAAAATAATCTTCAATATTTGAGAATTTATTAAGGAAACAGCTAGAACCAAGTTCTGTGATGAAAAAAGCAGAATTTGTTTTCCGTAATTTCTGGAGCTTGGTAGAAAGAGAGTGGATGGCCAACCAATTTGATAATGAGAGTGTTGCGCCATGGTTGAGAAATTCGATTTTTTTTATTCTTTGGAGAGGATTGAAGATGGGATTTTAAAATTGGTAGATGAGATATCCTATTCCAGGGGAAACTCAGACTCCATGGGTATGTTATGGAGCCAAGAGTGTTAGTATATATGATTAGATGGGGACGATAAGTTTTGTTTACAAGATGCAGAAGACGGAGAATCATTCATTGAAGAACTCTTTTTGTGGGTTTGAAAGCAGGAGGTTTGAATTTTTTAGTTAACAGAGTGGCAGGCAGAGGAACAAAGAAATATAAAAAATCATAATTGTAACCCTTAAAATATTATATATATATATATATTAACATTATGTTTTGGACATAAAATTATAATACGATAGGATAAAATAATTTTATAAATAGAATTAGATTAAATAATATCATATTATTTTATATTTAATATGTGTAAAGATTAAGATATGATAATTTATTTATTTATCAAAATTATTTTTTAAAAAATTTATGCAATTTAAATTATTGATATAATTTTTACAAAAATAATAAGACATGTTAGTTTAATCTCATAGATTAAAAATAATTTTTTTATTTTAAAAGAATTGAATCATTTTATACTAAGAGAATGATAATCTTTTTTATAATTATATCCATTTCAATTAAATATAAATTAAATATAATATAAAATAATTATCATTTATATTATTTTATCTATCATCTTATATACCATACATGTTATAAAAATATTTTGAGTTGTTATTATACCCTCTCACTAAATTAAGTGCTATAAAAAAATCAATTAAAACCAAAAATTCGATCAATATCTACCGTCACCAATCATCGGACACCAACGTCGAAAATCTCTCAAAAATCACCCACGAGATTCTTTCTTTGTCCTTAATACTATGTTTGGATTAAAGGGAAAGGAAGGAAAATAAAGGAAAATAAAGTAATGGAGGAAGGAAAATAAAGTCATGGAAACAGAAAAACTTTTTTTTTGTTTGAATAAACTTTTAATTTGAAAGAAAGAAAAGAGATGAAAATTCAATAATTTTTAGTTTTCCTTATAATTCTCACTTTTTTAATACTCCAATTTAAGAGAAAAACTAAAGAAAGAAAAGTTGAAAAATTTTTATCTTTATAAAAGGACTATTATATTTAAAAGTATTCTAAAATTATAGGCAATGAAAAGTTATAATTGAAAAAATTATTATAACGAATCACTTTCTTTTTTTTCATTTTTATCCAAATAATAATTATTAAAAAAAATTTATTAATTTTAATTATCCAAACAAAAAGTACATATATCATTACTTTTTCTTTTAAAAAATTTATTTTCTTTTTTTTTTTTTTTATTAATAATATTTATCCAAACATTACGTAAGGTAAAATAAATCATTCCATAATTTTTTTTTTCCTTTTAGGAGTTGTGAGTAACCGCAGAAACTATCAACAAAATCTTAGTTTGTTCTTCAGCTGTGTTAAGATTAGAGATGCAAACACAATAAGAAAACATAATGTTACATATAATCATGAGAAGGGGAGTCTCAGAAAAGAGCAATCGATTTCGCCATAAGATTTGTGTAATCCTTACGTGGGTCTTAAGCCAAGAAATATTCAATAAGAGAATCGGAGTTAGATCTGATAATTTGTATATTCATATTGTCTAAAACATTAAATTTTATATATTCATATTATATTTTATATGAAAATTACGTCTCATAATTTATATAATGTAAAAACAGAAAATATATATTTTTTGTTTTTATTAAACTTATGTATAATTATTATTAAAATTTTAAATCGTATTTTTTTTATATTTTTTATGCCATATTTATCTTATATCATATATCATATTTTAAATTATTAGATTTAATCGAGTTAGAACAACTAAAGTTGGGTTTATATTATATCTATATATAAATATAAATAAATATATAAGAGGAGGAGTGGGGGGTTGATTTTTAGGTATGATATGAGTGTATGTGGCGAACCCGCAGAGAAGTTTGTTGTTCCGGGCCAAACCAAACCCTACCTCTTTTAACTTTTGCTGAACGTATCCTCAAAAACTTGCTTCCGGTTAGGGCCTCTCTTTCGCATTTTAAGAAAACTCGCAAGGATAATTACAACCGTTCATGGTCAGAAGAAGATGAGTCAAAACTGGTGTATAATAACTACGCATATTTATACAAAAATTGGGCTTCTTGTGTTGAAGTTGTCTGTGAATTTTATTGTGTTGCTTCCAAACAGCTGGTTTCTTGCTGTTGGAATTTTGTCGAATATGGAAAATAAATTAACACAAAGCATTGATTTGGGGATTTTTTTTTTGGTCCTTTCGGTTATTTTTTTTAATTTCATAGTTCTTTATTTTTTTTCGGTTATTAATATTTAAGAATTATATTATTAAGATTTTAAGAAAAATAAATATGATAAATATGATGTGGACATGACTTTTTAATCCATGTCATCACCGTTAACAATATTAACCAATCATTATGCCACGTTAACAAAGTCAATTACCGAGTCATCAAGTCAACATTTAAGTTAATAATTTTAACAATAAAAAATTAACAATATTAATGGTTGGATTAGAATAATCAAATTAAAATAATAAGAGTTTATATTTGTATGAATTAAAATAGAGGGATTAAATTTTAAATTTTAATAAAATATAAAAAGTTTTGAAATAATTTAACCTTAAAATTAATTTTGAAAAATCAAGGAATAAGATTCAAATTTATCACTTGTTAATCTTTAGTAAGAGTGATAGATTAAATTTATCATTCATCCTTGATACAGTTTTTACTTCTATATATTTTAGTTTAGTTTTAAAATAATAAAAAGTTAATGGTTTTCTTTTTTTTGCCAGAAAAAAAGTTAATGGTACAAAAGAATATTTCGTTAGAAAAAATTCTTTTGTTTACCATTTTTGAAAACCAAATTCATAATTGTACAATTGCACATATTTAAAAATAATTGGTAAATTTCACTCATCACCTTAAGTAATGCCATAATTTCGAAACTTACTTCAAAAATCAACAATGAAAATCGACTATAATTTCAAAGAATTAAGGTCAAGTAGAAAATGTCCATGTATAATTACTTAAAAGAATCAATTTCAAATCTTTCTTCACAATCAAAAGACTAAATTTGTAAGATTACAAAAGGGAAAATTACATTTGTGGTTTTTAAATTTTGATTCACAATCATTATAGTCCTTAAAATTTCAAAAGTAACTTATTAATTCGTATAATTCCAACGTTGTAACGACATGGTTCTTCCATTAGTGTTTCCGTTAATCATACCATCAAATACCAATTAAGATGTCATCTGTCACTTAATGTGGGAGCTAAAGTGTATAAAAAATATTTAGTGGGAAATTTTCTAATTTTTTCTTTTATATAAAAGGTATTTTAAAATTGTTTTGGCTATAGTCGAATTTGTGGGTATATTTTAAAGATTTTTTGATATTTTAAATTGATTTTTAGGGTATTTTTTTATTTTTTTTATTTTTAAAAATTTTTAGGTAATATTTGGTATCATTTTTAAAATTATTATGATAATTTAATCACCAAAATAATCTTATTACTAAAGTAATTTTATCACTCGTGATCTTGAATCACTTTGTTTGGTTAAAAATAATTAATTTTTAACAATTAAAAATAAAAAATCAAACATTATATTGTTTAAAATTACCAAAATAATCATACACACTATAATAGTTACACAAATTAATCATTTTAGTGTTATTTAAAGATAATAATTTATATACAAAATATTAGTAATTTTTTATTTGTTTCATAATAAATATAATTAAATTATTAAATTAAAAATATATTTATTGATAGTAAACTAGTTTTTATAGTATAAATTATGTAAAAAATATTTGAATTAGAAAATAAAACTAAAATATTAAAATCAAAACATTATATTATAAATAAATTTACAAAATTTATGAAAAATCATACAAAATATTTTTAAACTTATTACAATGAATATTAGTTTGAAAAATATAGAAATTATAACATAAAATAATTATAATTAATTTTAAGGAAAAATAAAATTTTAATTCACATATTAAATAGCACTAGAAAAAATGATAGTTTTAAAGGCATATATTTTGGCGATTTGTTGAACCACATGAGGTTTTTTATTTTAATCTATCTTTTGCGGCTAAAAAAGAGCCATTGAGACTAAAAAATTTTTTATGGCATTATAGGTCTTAAAAAGTAAAGAGCTCACCCAAATTCTCTTTCTCAGTTTATAAAAAAAAAATCCTTTCACTCTCTCTTTTTTAAAGTGATTTTTCTCTATCATTTTGCTCGCTCATTTTTTAAATTACATTTAGCAATTTTTGAATCAAAATTAAAACATCTATCTCAAATCATTTAGAATTAATCCTATGTTACTTTCCTTAGTTTTTGAAAATCAAACCCTAATTTTTCCTCTCCATTCCCACCATTGATCAATTTCTTAGTTCAATTTTTGCTTTCCCTCTAATTTGAGATTCTTGGAATATTCTTTTAATTTCACAATTTTAAGATTATTGTAATCTCTGCAACCTAAAAACATGGCAACTGTTCAAATCAATAAAAAAATAAAAAGTATTATCTCCCAACTCTCATTCTTGTCTTTTCTTTCGTTTATTGCATCATTTCTCGAACTATTTTTTATTTAATTGATATTGCTTTCAGTTTGTCACTAATGAAGTCTTCATTGCAAAACCCAACAAGATCTTAACCGGGTAACTGACAGAGCTATTATTCAAGTTGAGTCTCTTTACTAGAAGTTCTTAGGAGGTTTTGCCATTTAGAGGTACATACTCAATATCAATTCATTTTTACAAACATAAAGCTTGTTAATGCTAAATTTATTATTCATGTTATTGTGCAATTTTCATATGCAATATATGAAATGAATTTAAATAATTAGGGTTTGTTATTGGTTTGTCATGTAAGGTCATTTACAAAATAGATTAGTATTTCTCTTCCAATTTTTATGTTGGAAAGTGACAAAAGTAATTAGATAATAGATTTTTTCTATTCCATTATCCTATTGAAATAAATTTGTTTTTCGTGAAGTACACTTAAAGGAGCGAACAATGTCAAGATCTTTTTTTATTTTTAATATCTAATTGTGATACGTAATCAATTTTTATGCTTATTTAATGAATTTCAAGATGTTAAGTGATGACATGTTAGTGTTTATGTATTTTTTTTTTCCTTTTAAGTTTTGGTACTTTTGACCTGTTTGGATGTTTCAATGGCCATATGGTAGTTCAACTATTAATTTT